TGCCGTCGGTTGGGCAGCAAACTTGCTACCTTAATCAGCAACTTTTTGGCAGCATATTTTTCCTTTTTTTTATGGGCCAGTCGAACCACGAACGGCCCGCATTGACAAGCCCGATTGTCATCTCTAGTCTACATCAACTCAAAGACATTTGAATGATGTTAAACATATTTTTCTTCAATTAAAGGACATTGTTCATTTGATATTATTATATTTTCAAAAGTCTGGATTTGCTTTTGTGAGATATGTAGATGCAGGTTATCTCTTCAACTCACATAAAGTTAAATCACAAACAAAATATATGTTTACACATGGAGGAGTAGCTATATCATGGAGATTTATGAAGCAATCCTTGCTAGCATCATTCTCAAATAATTTTGAAATTATTGTAATCCATGAAGTAGGCCAAGAATATGTTTAGTTGATGAACATGACCTATCATATCCAAGCATCATTAGGGTTAACTTCAATAAAAGATAGTATAACAATTTTGTATGAAGATAATGCAGCTTGTATTGCACAATTCAGAGGAGGCTATATCAAAGATGACAGGATGAAACACATTTCTCCAAAATTCTTTCATACATATAAGTTTCAAAAGAATGACGATATTGTTGTCCAACAAATTTGCTCAAGTGACAATGTAGCCGATTTATTTACAAAAGCACTGTTAACTTCTACATTCAAGAAATTGGTTCATAAAATTGGAATGTGTCAATTCAAAAATTTTTAGTGCTCATCATCATAGGGAGTAGCTGTACCCTTTTTCCTTCGCTTAAGTTTTATCTCATTGAATTTTCCTAGTAATGTTTTAGTGATGCAGTATTTATTTTTAACTCTAAAATAATTGTATTCTTTTTCCTTCGTTTAATCTTTTTGTTCCATTGAGTTTTTATCAAACAATGTTTTAACGAAACAAGTATTTTGTAATGGGTCATACAACGAGGAGTGTTATAAATGGTAAGTTTATTAGCGAATGATAATTTTACCCCGACAACTCTAGAAATTATTACTATTGTATTCCTGATTTTTACCTATAAATATAAAGATTTTGTTCTTAATAAAACACACAAAAATTTATTGAATTTTATTTTATCTTCTCTTCTCTCTTTTCATAACAATAAACTAATATTTAGATGTTATTATAAATTTAGTGCCGTGTTAGATGTGAATTAATATTACAATAGCAGATAAAGGTGATAGACTATTCCACTTCTAGATATGATATAAGGTTTTGTAGTCTAGCCAGTAAATGGCCATAGGGGCCGAATGGGTGCACCTGTCGAGAGAACTAAAACAGTTGAAGAACCTAACCTTGCAAATGGAATAAATCTTAACAATAATGAGAAGTAGCCTCAAGAAAGCAGTACAGAAGAGAAGGATAGTGTGGTAAGCTATTGCCAAGATGCTAATTGATTTTCATGCTGCAGATATTTAAATGTTTTTGTGAAAAGTTTTATTTTTTTATATAAGAGTAAAAGGACTAAATTGAATGTTTTTCAAAAGGTTAGAACCAGCAAGAGAAATTTATTTTGTATAATAAATGTTTTCCTGGACTAAGAAGGAAAATATATTTTCAAAGGTGTCCAATTGCTAGTGTTTTAAAAAAGGATAGCTAGTTGGGAATTTATTACAATTTCTTTATTTTTCAAGTAAATAACATTCAAGAACCAAGGGTAAAATTTCTTGAAAGACTCATTTCATTTTCATCGTCGTCATTTTCTCTATATATTAACAGTTGCGCGCTCGTGCGCACACACACATATATAATATAACGTGCAGAAAAGTTTGGATTCAACCATAGATAAATACATGAAAATGAAAATGAAAATTTAAACCTTAATATATAATTTCCGTTAAAAGTTTGAGGCACTGAGAAAAATCTGGTAAAAAGTTTGAGATCGACTTAGTCCATGGCTCTTCTCAAAACGAATTCAAGCCATCCATGAATCGAGTTGGGACAAGCTAATGATTTGGATAGCCAATCGATCTGTTTGTCACTCCTAAACATATTAGGCAAATTAAAAAAAAACTGGCTAATCCACAAATTTTGTGTTGTAATACATCGAATTGATTTTAATTCAACAAATTAGGCAGGCAATAGAAATTTTTCTCCACAGACGACATATAGAGGTTAAAAACGTGATTTTTTTATTTTTTTT